GCTGAGTCGGGTCACATAGATAAGGCACTTAAGGCTAACAACTATCCAAAACATTTCATTCAGGCCACTCGCAGGAAACTAGCCAGACCAAAGAGGACTGGGGTCAGAGAGGAGCAGACGGACAAGCCTTTAGTTGTTCTACCTTACGTGAAGGGGGTCACGGAGAGAGTTACACGCGCGGTCAAACCGTTTGCCCGGGTTGCTACCAGGCCAGAGAGGAATTTGAAAAGCTTTCTGGTGCACCCCAAGGACAAGAGGGACATGTGTCACAGGACGGACGTGGTCTACCAATATGTGTGTGCGTGTGGAAAAATTTACATAGGAGAAACGTGTCGTAGTATTAAAGCGAGAGAAACAGAGCACAAGAGGGCGATACGCAACTTGGACGAGAATCATTCAGGACTAGCCAAACATGTTATAGAAACGGGCCACTGTGTCGCTTGGGGAGATGTGAAAGTCTTAGCTTACGAGTCTGACTGGAGGAAACGAAAAATCAAAGAGGGTATTTTTATCGACAAGGCGAGAGGAAATGTGCTGAATGTGAAACCTGGTGTCATGGTGGCAGATGTGTATCGTGTGCTCGGCTAGGCGACTAAATGATAGTTCAATGTTCGTGCGGTGTATTTTTGTTTATTGTGCTTACTCATGTACGCGAATTCGCCAACGAAGTGGAACGCTACGAATTACGAAACGAGCTTTTCTCGATTATCTGCGCCACTTTGAGTTTAAGTGGCGTTTTTTGAATTTTGAATTGTTTTGTATTTACGTGTTTATCTGTCTTTTTAAGAATTCTATCCAAGGCTGACGAAGGAAGCTGTAACGCTTCCGAAAGCTACCAATAAAAACTTACACACAATATTTTGCCAAATGAATCCGTCCCAGCTCAACAACAACATATATAATCAAAATGTATAATTAATGTTGTTTAAAGCAGCATATTAATAATTATGTTTGTAAATTATCGATAAGCTGCTTATAGCAGGTCACGTGATTGCTACCAGATTATGTGCTCAGAAAGCATCTTTTCAACTTCGATTTTGAACAATTTTTACCTCCTTTGAGGCCAAATGATGGACGGTTTGAGGCACACGATGAAATGCTGAATGTATTGATGCCAAAATTTGTTCGTTTTTTGCATTTTTAGACTAGTATATCCTGGCTCAAACTTTGACCAATTTGTGTGTAAACCCTATGGTGAAGGGAAAACTTCACGCCCAGCAGGCGTCATTACAGTGCTGCCAAATCGTGTTTGGTGGGGGTCGGCAAAACCTACCGCTAAAACCCGCGAGACCTGTACTTGTTTGGTTGACGTGATTAGCTCCGGCTTCTCAAGTTGAACCTGGCTGTAGGCGGTTCTCATTGCGTCCCACCCCCGCAACGAGACTTCGGATGATGATACAGATAGAGAGGTGCTACCTCACATCCACTCACGGCAATCAGGCACAAGATCTTTGTGCTGAGCAGGTCAACTGGATCAGTTAAATGAGGAAGATTGCAAAAACGAAATCTGACTTGCGCGTTATTTATGCTTTTTATATCCATGACTGGCGTTAAACGAATCAGCTTTCTACAGTGACTTTGTGACATCACCAACTTTCTTCGAAATAACGAGCCCAATTACCAAATGTGTTAGCGAGCAGTCATGGATTAGACGGCAGATCATCGCTAGTTGGAGTTTGCCACCATACGCTTTAGGTCGATCTTGGGCAATGAACAATATGTATAAAGCAGATTAGATGCCACCAGTGCGAGGCTGTTAAACTTACACTGTCTCGGTGACGTCTCCCTCCATATGATGCCCCAGACGGCGGCACCCACGTGGGGTCCGAGTCCGTGTCAGTCAGCTGAGGCGGTGTCCGAACGGCCGGCCCCGTCCGCGCGCGCCTTTACAAGCATGTACGCAGAAACAGGTAGTTCACGGGGTTTGGGAAAGGCTGGTGAGCTCATTTCATACTGATACAGATAGACAGATAGATTATAACCATTTGGATGCCACTAGTGTCGTCAAACTTACACTGTCTCGGTGACGTTTCCTTGTGATGCCCCAGACGGCGGCTCCCACTCGGGGTCCGAGTCCGGGTCCGTCAGCTGAGGAGAAGGTGTCCGGATGTCCGGCCCCGTCGTGCGCCTGGACAAACTGATTGTTCTAGAGAACAAGCACGTACTTACACATGAGCGTCATTCGCGGGGTTTGGGGAGGGCTGGTGCAGGGGTAGCCAGTAACAGTTGGTAGCAATAGGCCAAATGGGCGCTCAAAAATTACTACCCCATAGGGTTTCCATGTTAAATCGACCTTTTTCAAGCGAGCCCCATGCGTAAGCTAATAAATAAAGTACCAATATTATTGTGGGGAAAGGAAGCCTCAAGCTTCCTCTACAACCTTTCTATCTAGCATTTTTCGATGCGGAGGCCATAACAGGTCCAAAAAGCATTGGGCGCTGCCCGAGGTACCAAAAGCCCCTCCGTGAGAGCACAAGTTCCTGCGCATGCGCACATTGCCTCAACCCTGTACTAGTGATACTGCTCGCGGACTCGCTCAGCCAATCAGCATCCACGATTACATTCATAGATGTCGCTATCATCACGTAAATCCTGCTTGCGAACACACTTCAAGAATGAAACAGCTGCGCCATTTCTGCCTTCCATTGATTCCTTCCATCTTAGTATCAACTATACGCTTTTCAACTAACTTTAGACTAAGTTTTAAACTATGGTTAGTATGTTATTTCTGGTACATATAATTTAAAAATAACTGCTTTATGAATTTGGCTTAACTCTTCAGAATGGAATACTCTATTTTTTCGATATACAAAAAATATATCACCTACCCTCTAACTTGTCCAGGTAAAATGGGCGCTTTCCGCGTCGTTGGTGTACCCGTTGTTCTATATACCCTGGGCTGGTGAGTGGTGAGCTCATTTCATAGATGACAGTATATTTCAGATCCATGCATCTGAGATGGGGAAGTACCAACGTGTATGCAAGGCCCTAAATACAAGGTTGCACGGACTAATTTCTACTAAACCTACCAGAATAAAGTTTCACGGTTGGATATTCAAATAACTATTCAATCTAAACTTCTTTATTATTTTCCCGTTATCATTTATAAGCAATTTTATAAATTGACTTTCAATTTGCTTGCCTTTTACTGGCAAAATAACTTTCTATTATTGGGTCAACATAGTGGTGTAGCAGTAGGAACCGTATCTGGTAAAACCCCAATACCTACATACAGCAGAAAAGCAGCCACCAGGTGTCGCCACAGTCGCCACTTGGTCGCCACACAGATGTCGCGCGCGTCGCCAATCGCCACACTACCGATTTCCATAAGGTCGCATATGTACGGAGATGTATAGGAAAGTCGCCCTTAAGGATTACGCTTACATCCTTTGCTTATGAGGTGGGTGGTTGGAAATTGGGAGGGGCTCAGCTATTTTCGACCACGGATATAGCTTTATCACATGATGAGGAACATGCTGATAAGCATTTTATGTGTCATAACAGCACAAAAGTATTTTTAATCATTTTTCAAAAATAGCCGTTCTGCCGTATCTTTCAGTGCAAGGTGCCGTCGGTCATCCCCGACGTTACGTCACGCCGGGGATTGCCAGATTTTCCTACTAGACTTCGACGCCCCCTGCGTGTATGTACATAGTTAGCGCTGCGCACTTGTCGCTGGTCGGCCCGAGGCAATAGCGGTAATAGCCGACACGCTCAGTCAGACGGCGGGACAGAGAGACGCTCATGATAAGCGCCACGCCTCTGAAGGGAAGCGGGCCGACGCAGGCTGTGCCACGGGGATCTTCAAGCTTACAACCAGCTCCCATTTATCAAACGAGATGTGCATCTAAAACACCAACTGAAGCAGCGTATTCTTCAACTAAGCAGCGTCTAAAACATGGTCATATGCATACGTGTAGCCACATGGGTCGACCATAACTTTCCCTGTTTTTAACTTTTGAGTTACTGACGTGTGAATGTGCAGATCTTTCGCCAAATAAATCTGAATCTGAATCCAATCTGAATCCAAGTTTATACGCATCAGAACGAGCAAGATTAAAGAAGCCTGAGGACCTATTCGCACATTGCCAGGGATACCGACGTGCGGTCAGTCATTGCCGGATTTCGCGTGACTACCTCTTTTAGCATGGTATCATGATAGCGTGTTGTTTTTATGTTCATTTCGCTTTCTTAGCACGGAGTGCCGCGACTAGTTGTTTTATAATATCTGGACTTTTAATGTAAGGTTTTTTTTGCGTCGCTTGCACTGCGGAGGGGCACTCCTGGTCCTCTGTTCATGGATGCGTACTATTTAGATATTTAGAATAATACAAAAATATCTGGCCTCCAGCTCTGTTTCTCTTCAAATTCTCCATGCCTAGAACAAAATGACCTGGAATGACCTTTCGTGACCTTAACATTGACCCCAACAAAAATTAAGCAATAATCATGATAGCTTTCATGGGCTATGTCACGGCCTCGTGCACACGTCGCTTTTCACTGCGTTGGGGATTTTTATTAGATCTCAGGGGCCGGATATTCAGCTCCCAGTATGATCTACGACTATACCAATCGACTGATATGGCGTTCGTCCAAGAGATGCATTTTAATTTTTCCGATAGTGAAGAGGTCGCAATATTGACCTGACTCCGATATTGAAATTGTGAGATATACATTTCATACATATTGTTACTCTTATCAATCGCTGAAAGTTTCAGGGCGATCGTTCAGTCAGTCTGTAGCTATGACGACATTCTAACTTTGGCCGAGGTGAGGTCATTTGACAAGACCTGGTGACCTGACCTTGAGGACCTGGGTCTGAAATATTCACATGTGCGGAAAACATGCATGAACAAGTGGGCATAAATAGTTTTGAGATATCAGCGAAAAACCGCAAGGGAAGGGGGCAGGGTGTCCAAACACTTTTCGGCCCGGCGCGGGTTAAACTAGGGACCGCACATTTGCCGCTCAGCCACCGCCTAAGGAGCACTCACTCGTATCTGAATCCTCCCGGCATATGGGGAGGACCTTGGCCGCTGCAGGCTCTGTGAAAAATAATCATTCTGACCGACCACTCAACGAGATCAGCATAAACATACCGATGACGATGATGATTTTGAGAGAAAGAAGGCGCAGCAGCTACGAGGCTATATCGCTGAACGTACTGACACAATTATATTACATGAATAGCTCCAGACCATGATTATCGGCAACGTTTTGTATAATTATACGTTCATCGTTCAGGTGATAAATACCTGTCCCTGTGTACGTACTAATCACAATGTCGCCACTAAAGCATATTGTAACATACGTACTGGGTCTTGGTGAGCTCGACGACCGCTGCCGGTGGGCGCCCAGGGGCGGAGTGCGCACTGCGCACCTCTGCAAAAGTAGTCCAGACGTCAGTTTTACCAACATAAAATAGCTGGCTGCCGGTATTTTTTCTAGAAGGCTCCCTAAGTTCAACACATCATGAGAAAAAGGACCGCTGATGTGAAAATGTATAATTTATAAATTAGGCTGGCTGATATTAATATTTACATCAGTGGACTTTTTCGCCTGAATGGCGAAATTCGGGAACGACTTAAGGTAAAAAAAACGGCAGCAGGCGAGTCTAGCTCTCACTTTGAGGCAGAAGTCAGGCCTTGAGAGTACACAAAAGCCAGAGTTTAACCCTATTAGTGGCAGGGGGGGGGGGGGGGTTGTTTTCATCCACCCCTCAGGTTTTTCGGGAATATCTCCGAAACCGCTGAAGCTACGGTGCTGAAATTTTCTGACTTTTCCTAAAACTAAATTGAGCACATTTCCTGAAAATTTCAAGCTCATAACTTTAACGGGGGCGGCTCCAGAGCACTGGGAATTGGGGGGTCCTATTCGTGAAGCGAGTCATTTGGGCGAAGATCACGATGCCGATGTATTATAACTGTATGCACCAGTTTTACGAACAGTGAATGAAAGGTATCATGTGATAACATATACAAAGTTATTGTGCATCCTCTTTTGACACGTTTTTGCTATAATAGGCGGATCCAGGCGTCCAAAAAGGGGGGTTATGTTTTACCTCCCAACATAGGTGCCCTGACACCGCCTATGCATGACCAATACAATTGTAGTCGTTCTCTCATAAGAAAATTGTAACATAAGACCATTACAACCCTTTTTAGAAACAGTACCAACAAAAACCTTATTTACTACACTTTTTGTGTACCCCCAATCTCAATGATCTGTATCCGCCTATGATTTTTAAAAATGCATATTTTTAGGATCCATGTGAATTCCTGGTTCATTCTCTATCGATCGGCAAAAGTAGCGTTAAGATTGGTTCAGAAACCTGGCCGTGATAAAGTCTAAAATGTATCTGCAATTTGCCCGTTTTTACCCCCCTCTACCCCCTATTGACATTTTTTAATTTTTATTTTTAAGAAATGTAGATCACGTTGAGCGAAATCGAATGCCGTTTGAATTTTGAAAATCGGCCCGTTAGATCTCGAGATATCAAGGGGGGTCGTAAACAGCCCCCCTGCCACTAATAGGGATAGCCAGGAGCCTGCCACTAATGGGTTAAAGGGACCCTCCAACCTTAACATTAGATTTGAGTTGAGATAGCCAAAATGGGGTCCCTGGCTCACAATTACCGGTTTCGGCACTCACAACATCGAGAAATGCCTTAAATCGGAAATATTGAATTTCAAAATTGCAGCATTTTGATTCAGAGGGGCTAATGCATAGGAATACCCCTCTGAATGTGTGACGTCAGCGCAGATATCTAACGATTTTTAAATGTTTGACTAAAACGTTTTGTAGCACGCTGTGGTATATGCTGCTTTGCGCGCAACAAGTGCCGCACTTTCAGCTGCCAAACTATTGCTTCCAAATAAAGTCGCTAGGAACAGTGGAGATCCCAAAAAGTAAACAAAAGTAAAAGTCTAATATCTTGAAAACCGGTGAATATTTTTCGGTGAAATTTGGTAGATATTCGTTTTCGCTCTTTCTGAACCGAGCGACATCACTCATGGCAATTCATTAACTTTTTTGAAGGTTGGAGGGTCCCTTTAATTTAGCAAGGAACTCTGCTTACGCCTTGGCAGTTGACATGCTAGCGCGATTCAATTACTGCTCTTTTTTTGCAATCGCATCACCGTTCTGTAGCGTGTTGTTTGATATCCTCGTCATAACCGAGAAAAATCAGCGTTACTTCCGGTCATAGTCACACCCATTCCTATGGCGGACCACGTGTATAATAATCTACGAGTCTACTAAAAAGGCTATGGCAAAAAATAATGATGAACCTATATATTTGCATACGTATCCAGCCTTGCTTCATTGTCTAGAAAATACTATACCTTGATCCATGTTGCGCCCTGGCGGTGGAGTCCAGAATCCAGCAGCTGTAGGAGAAAAAAAAACGTCAAGTTAAAAAACAATCACATAAAGACTAGATAGTGGACATCAACGTCGCGGTTAAGTGAGCGCACGCACGCACGCCGGTACCTAAATACACACGCACATACATACCTCTACTACTAACATTTAGGAAAAAACACACATACAAGTTAAATCTAAATACGCGGAAACGCGATCGAAGAAACTTGGATTGCATTGCAAATGTAAAAGTGCCACTTTGTTCATTACAACAAGCAAATGCATATCGATCTGCCCCTCTGGGAATGAATAAGCAAACGAAATACCTAAGCCGAGCTTTTATAGATACACCAGCACAGCGGAAGTTTTAGAGTTACGACGATGTGGGGAGGTTTCGCACCTGAAAAAAGCAACATTAAAACCTAGCCACTCACTTTCGTGGAAGGCCTCAATAAGGATGGGGTTTATATGGGATCTAGGCTCCCAAGTGACTTCGCTGAAAAGGAACACAAGGAACACAGTGATTAGGGAGAGATATACAAATAACAAGGAATACCGTCACACGGACGATCCGCAAGAAGGGGTACACGCTTTTGGGTGGTTGTAGTAACTGGCCCAGGAATAGTGCATTTTAATGACCTATGTCATGTCTTCGCCAGTTATGTCAAACATTATTTCTGCATATCGAGTAGGTCACTTATAAGGCCGGAACCATTGACCTATAATAAGTATAGGACTTATTCTTAATATAGGTCAATGGCCGGAACACAGCTCTTAAGCGTGCAAAACGCATCTCCGCACTTCCCATTGGAATACATGGCATATGTATTCTCTGCTTGCAACACGCAGCGCATTAAGCCGCGTGTTGCAAGCAGAAAATGCATATGCCATGTATTCCAAGATTTTAGGACTAAAGTACGTATCGCTAAAGTACGTAGGACAAAAGTACGTATGCAAATGTTCGTACGCAAATATACGTAGGCGATAAAGTTCGTATGCCAAAAGTACGTACGCAAATGTTCGTACGCAAAAGTACGTATGCAAAAGTACGTAGTGCATAAAGTACGTCTGTCAAAAGTACGTACGCAAATGTTCGTACGCAAAAGTACGTATGCAAAAGTACGTAGTGCATAAAGTACGTATGCCAAAAGTACGTAGGCAAATGTTCGTACGCAAAAGTACGTATGCAAAAGTACGTAGTGTAAAATGTACGTATGCCAAAAGTACGAACGCAAATGTTCGTACGCAAAAGTTCGTATGCAAAAGTACGTAGTGTATAAAGTACGTATGCCAAAAGTACGTACGCAAATGTTCGTACGCAAAAGTACGTGTGCAAAAGTACGTAGTGTATAAAGTACGTATGACAAAAGTACGTACGCAAATGTTCGTACGCAAAAGTTCGTATGCAAAAGTACGTAGTGTAAAAAGTACGTATGCCAAAAGTACGTACGGTTCGTATGCCAAAGTACGTAGTGTATACAGTATGAAGTACGTATGCTAGAAGTAGGGTATAGTAGTGTAAGTTGAGCCGCTTTTTCTTTATTGCTGCTCTGTTGCCATACTACAGGGAACTCATGATAAATTCTTATACCAAATAATATAGCTTTGTCCATTTCGCCCAGTTACTCATCGAGAAATTTTGCTATGCCTTGTAACAAATGCTCATTAAATAAAGAATAAGAAAGGTATTACACATTGATCAACTTAACCCAAGGGTGGGGTACCCTACGTACATTTCCTATGAGTACTTTTGTCCGTGACGTACTTTGGTCCACACGTAGGGTAGACCGGGGCAAGTCGCCCCGCCGAGGTAAAACGCCTCACCGATGTTCCTCGGAACTGGCAGGGTTCTGAAGAAAGATCCCCCTTCTGTTAACCCGGCCGGGCCGGGGGGGGGGGGTAATTCCAACCACCGCAGCCCGGGGAGGGGCGTTTTTCAAGGAAGCTACGCAAACAAAAGCGATACCAAACGAAAGGTCCTTACGAGACGATTCTAAAACACCTAAAACTTTTGACCTCAGGTCAATTTTCAAGGTCAGAGGTCAAGGTCAAAGGCAAAAACCGGCACATGTGTAGTGATCTGAAAGTGAGCGTTCTTGATGACGGCAGGATGCATGAAACTGGCAAAATTGGGTGTCAAACGAAAGAAGAGAATCTGAGAATTCCGAAAATGTGCTCAACCCCAAAGGTCAAGGTCAAGGTCATGCTCAAAATTGACCTCAAACTTTGCACTTTTTCGTACATCTTGCGTGTCAACTTCCAAGATGTTTTGAAATGTTTTGAGGCTTATCAGGTCCCTATTTGTGGTTCATCTTATGATACAAGACTGCTCAAAGGTCACAGAAGAGAGTCCTTGCTAGAGGCTATTTCACTGATTCAAGTTAGTAATAATAAATAAGACAATTTTGCCATCTGGAGGCTCTAAATAAAGGCTTAGAGGAAAATGGATGGGTCATTCGAGGTCGCATGAGGTCAACATAAAACTTGCCCTTTTCCAAACAAATATATATCATTGGACGCGGCTTGACAAGGCAAATGCGATGGTACCACTGCCGTAGCTCTAGGACCATTTTTGTCGAAGTTATTTGCAAAAAAACTAAAACCACAGCTCGGGGTCGTTGACCTGACCTCTGACCTCAGGTCACTTAAGCTATTTTTGTATTTTTCTCTAGGTCAAACGCTACACAACCGTGCTCGTAATTTGTCTTTATCTCTAAAACTCTATTTTTAGCAGCTATTTGAAGTTCACGTCTTTGACACCGAAGTTTGCCATGCAGAGGTCTAGAAAAATCGACTTTGTGACGTCATCAATGGGGCTAGGTCCACATTTTTTTACTTCAGAAGATGTCAAATTGATGGAAGAAAAGGTACTGCAAGTTTCGCTTTCCTATCCCTATAAGCGTTCGGGAGCTATCGCAAATATTCGCCAGGGGAGGGGGGGCGAAAAACGCCCCCCGGGCCCGCGAGGGTTAATCTAGTGTATGGGGCTTCTTGCCTCAGGCCGTGGGACGTTTTGCCCTGGGGTTGGGGCAAAATGCCCCATTTGCAGTTGCTTCACAAAGCACTTCCTAGCTGGGAGTCCGATCACAAGTGAATGAATTTGAGGGGTGGAATTTAAAGTAAAATGTCCAAAGAACACATTGAGCACAAATTTGGCCTTCCAGGTGATGTGAGACAAAAGTAGGCACCTATGTAGCAGAATAAATTATCTGGGGCGTCTTGCCCAAGGTTTTATACCCTACGTACATTTGCTATACGTAGGCTTTCGTACGTGACGTACTTTTGTCCATACGTACCTTATACCCTACGTACTTCTGCGATACGTACTTTTGTCCGTGACGTACTTTTGTCCATACGTACTTTTTACCCTACGTACTTTAGCTATACGTACTTTTGTCCGTGACGTACTTTTGTCCATACGTACTTTATACCCTACGTACTTCTGCGATACGTACTTTTGTCCCTGACGTACTTTTGTCCATACGTACTTTATACAGTACGTACTTCTGCGATACGTACTTTTGTCCCTGACGTACTTTTGTCCATACGTACTTCATACTGTACGTACTTCTGCGATACGTACTTTTGTCTTTGACGTACTTTTGTCCATACGTACTTTATATTGTACGTACCTCTGCGATACGTACTTTTGTCCCTGACGTACTTTTGTCCATACGTACTTTATACTGTACGTACTTCGGCGATACGTACTTTAATCCTACGTACTTTTGCTTACGTACTTTTGTCCTACGTACTTTAGCGATACGTACTTTTGTCCGTAACCCGTATTCCAATGGGAGGTGCGAAGACGCGTTTTGCACGCTTAAAAGCTGTGTTCCAGCCTGTCACTTGGTGCTAGTTGCGTGGCTTGGTCCAATTGGTTTGATTTGAAAGGCTAGGTTCAGTGGGGTGACCAAGGCTATAGAACTCCAGGTAAGGACACCAGCCGTTTGACCTTGAACGCCGCCGGCCGGCCGATGACGTCATTGGAGGCAAGCCGGCTCGGCGGACACACAAGGCGAATGCATAACGGAGGGGCGTTGGAACGTTGCGGGAGCCGGGGAGATATTTTAATGTGGTTGTATACCACCATTGTTATGTTTATTGATCTACAGACTGCATTCTTTTAAACCTCGATGTACTCTAGGCCTGGATGGTTCGTACATTCGTGGAACGATCACCCCGTCCGAAGTCCGTGGTCGAAGCTGTCATAGTATTAAAGACACTAAGACGGGTGCAATAACGGCGATCCGATCCCGTCTCTGGCGAATCTAGAGGGGTCGTAAGGACCCAGGCCGAATCTGACCGTCTATTTTTAGGGAAACGGGGTGGGTGAATTGACAACCGATGGCTTAAGAGATAATGAGAAGAGATCCCGTCGTCGATTGTTGTTTGACAGACAACACATGTTGTACTGGACGTATGACCATCAGAGGTAATGCCTGAACGTAGGCAAGCATAATTGTTCTGTCATACTGTTTAGGAATATAAAATGGTAATGGAGATTATTGAGGATATGATCTCTGCATTACAGGAATTCGCTAATTACTACGGCCCATAGGGGCACCGCCGGAGCTGTTGTTTTGCCATCGGTCCCAGGCAACTCCAGGGAGCTGCAGTACCCGGCGGCCAAAGCGGCCCACCTCGTCGACTCGCAGGTCCTGTGGGATTCCGTGATGCTTTAGTGCTTCACCCACAGAAGCACGGGCATAGCAGTAGGATGTGGGGCTAGGTGTCTGTCCACCTCTTAATTGAAAGAACAACGTATACAGCGCCTGGTCCCGCCGAAGCTCGGTATCGACCGTGACTTATTCACAACTGGCGGATCCAGGAAGCGGTCTTGGACACTGCGGGGGCTTACCCCAAAAAGGTTTCTCGGAATTAATTAAAAACAAACTCTGATTTCGATTCCTTGCGCACTGCTGTGCAGTGTGATTAACCAACATTTCCTCAGAAAAGTTGTGAAGTTTTCTTTGATTCTCGAAAAGCGATTTCGGGCGCTGCCAATGTGGGGGAAGACATTTGCCCCAAATGCCTTCCCCTGGATCCGCCAGTGGGTTGCCCCACTCCGAGCTTGACTAAAACCATTTTCAAACCCCACCAGAAACCGATGGTAAGGTGAATTTAAATCCAATAACTCATCTCTGTCTGCCCGCCTAAATATGTATACAACACATGGTACGGCACCCGGCCCTGTCTGAGCTATGAGCCGATCGCGATATTTTCGGCTTTCCCCAACCCAAGCTCGATTAGGAACGTTCTCCTTCCCCACCCGATTGCTGATGTCAATTCAAATTCAATACCTCATCTCTGTCGGCCCGACCATAACCCATTCATTGCACACCGTTCAGCGCCCCGCCCCGCCAGAAGTATCCTAGCGCGCTGAGCAGTTGCCTCCAGCCGCGTCATCGCGAGGCCCCGCGCGGCCCATAAATTAATACATTGCGCGAATAGCCGTGTCGCCCCCCTGGGGGTGACAAAAAAGTCGACAAAATAGCCAGGCTCTGTGGAGGAGATTGCGGACCCCCCCCCCCCCCTCTAAACAAACGCAGATAGACGGTGACACAAGCGCCAAGTATCATCCCTTTGTTTTAACATTGGGCGCATACATGACGGTGAATCGACGAAAAAAGAGAAATTTAACAAATCATTACGCATGCTTGCGCAGCATTACATAATGTGACACTGAAAACACAAAATTCATGTCATACTCACTTAAAACCTTGCCACTTCACTTCATACATCTGGCAGCTTGAGTCACATGCGATGATGAACTCAATGAAAAAAAACGCTCCTGCAAAGAACAGATTAGGCAAAGTTAATGAATTGCGAAACTAACACACTTGGTTAATGTTAGGCATGACACGACATTCATGTATTAACCCGCGCCGTGCTGGTGGCCTGAACTTTCCGCCGAGTGCTGGGGGGGGCGTTTTCACGCCCCCCGTCTAACTCGGCTCCTGGGCCACGTAGCGACACGCGGTAAGCGGCAATCGAAAGAGCGTCAAAAATAAAGACGAAAACACTTCGGTCATTTTTTGGGTCAGGTCAAAGGTCAGGTCACCAGAGGTCACCAAAGGTAAAATGTTGACTATTTCAACATTTTGGAAACTGCCAACGGCTATCTCGGGAACCGATAGAGCTACAGCGCCGCGGAAAAGCGCATTCGATAGCCCTTTTACAGACCTTTCTGAGTAATGTTCTCAGATTTGACCTCAGGTCAACGGTTTAGCCTCCAGAGGGCAAAAACTCCAAAAATAGCCGTTTTTACGAAACACGTTTTTTCGTCAATAACTTTTGACTCATAAGCGCCATGACATTACTTTTGCCAGCATCGTGTTCCTCTCGTCGAGACGCGTCGAATGAACTATTCGTTGACCTTGAAAGGTCATTTTGAAAATTTGACCTCAGGTCAAGGTCATGACCTGACCGAAAAGGGTCATGTTGCATATCAGTCGATCCGTATCGTCGAGCTGAACACATCTGACGTGTTTTCACCGCTCTAGCACGTCTCTATCAAAAGTTATAGCCAAAAAACTGCTGGCGACCGTTCATGACCTGAGATGACCTCAGGGGCACACAGAGGGGTCACAGGTGCATTTTTCCTATTCAGTGTGTCATGTTTACCTATGAACCGATGTTTGAGAGCGTTTTGAACGATATTCGTCCAAAAGAGGCGCATTTCAATTTTCTCCCATTGACTTATAATGGAGAGGTCGCAAAATTGACCTGACCTTAGGTCACAGATATCAAAAATCCGAGATATACATTTTATACATACTGTTACTCATATCAATCGCTGAAAGTTTCAAAGTGATCGTTCAGTCGGTGTAGCTATAGCGAGCCTTTGAACTTTTTCTGAGGTAAGGTCACTTGACGTGACCTGGTGACCTGACCTTGAACGGCCTAGGTCTGAAATTTTCACAACATGTGCGGAAATGATGTAGGAACACGTGTACCAAAAACGGCGGCGCTGCGCGCCGCCGTTTTTGAGATATTCGCAAAAAACCTGAGGGGGGGGGCGTAAAAACGCCCCCCCCCCCAGCACGGCGCGGGTTAAAGGGACTATCCCACCTTTAACATGGGGTTTGAGTTGAGATAGCCAAGTTTGCGGCGAGGTTCAGAAACCACTATCTATCTAGGTTGCAACCCCCGCGGCCTCTTGGTGTTGAAGAAATTCGTTTCCTTCATTTGAAAATGGGCCTTGTACAAGGCCCTATCTTAAACATGGAGCGACCGTTAGTGTGACGTCACCTCGTTTAGTCATTCTGATTTAAATGGGTTTGTTCGTTGAAAAATCGCTTAAAACTTGGTCTGAACTCTGTTGTGGTGCCTACAGGGTAAAAAGAATCAGCTTTATGACAGTAATGTGGCCTGGGGAAGGAGGTAATTTTGGGCTGTGACGTCACATATTTGAAAGTTTGTGTTAGGAATATGGGAAGCCTAAGATGTTTAATGAAAAATAAATGTCAGAACCGTGTTCCTGGTCATCCAATCTATAAAGTCGGGCACAATTTAACTGGTTTTAACAACATTTTAGAAGGTGGAATAGTCCCAGGGGGGCGACACGGCTATTCGCGCAATGTATTCATTTATGGGCCGCGCGGGGCCTCGCGATGACGCGGCTGGAGGCAGCTGCTCAGCGCGCTAGGATACTTCTGGCAGGGCCGGGCGCTGAACGGTGTGCAATGAATGGGTTATGGTCGGGCAGACAGAGATGAGGTATTGAATTTGAATTGACATCAGCAATCGGGTGGGGAAGGAGAACGTTTCTAACCGAGCTTGTGATGGGGAAAGCCGAAAATATCACGATCGGCTCATAGCTCCGACAGGGCCGGGTGCCGTACCATGTGTAGTATATTTAGGCGGGCAGACAGAGATGAGTTATTGGATTTAAATTCACCTTACCATCGGCTTCTGGTGGGGTTTGAAGACGTTTTTAGTCAAGCTCGGAGTGGGGCAACCCACTGGCGGATTCAGGGGAAGGCATTTGGGGCAAATGTCTTCCCCCACAACCAGGGCAGCGCCCGAAATCGCTTTTCGAGAATAAAAGAAAACGTCACAACTTTTCTGAGGAAATGTTGGTTAATCACACTGCACAGCAGTGCGCAAGGAATCGAAATCCGAGTTTTTTAAATTAATTCCGAGAAACCTTTTTGGGGGTAATTGCCCCGCAGTGTCTAAGACCACTTCCTGGATCCACCAGTTGTGAATAAGTCACGGTCGATACCGAGCTTCGGCGGGACCAGGCGCTGTATACGTTGTTCTTTCAATGAAGAGGTGGACAGACACCTAGCCCCACATCCTACTGCTATGCCCGTGCTTCTGTGGGTGAAGCACTAAAGCATCACGGAATCCCACAGGACCTGCGAGTCGACGAGGTGGCCGCTTTGGCCGCCGGGTACTGCAGCTCCCTGGAGTTGCCTGGGACCGATGGCAAAACAACAGCTCCGGCGGTGCCCCTATGGGCCGTAGTAATTAGTGAATTCCCGTAATGTAGAGATCATATCCTCAATGATCTCCATTACCATTTTATGTTCCTAAACAGTAAGACAGAGCAATTATGCTTGCCTACGTTCAGGCATTACCTCTGATGGTCATACGCCCAGTACAACATGTGTTGTCTGTCAAACAACAATCGACGACGGGATCCCTTCTCATCATCTCTTAAGCCATCGGTTGTCAATACACCCACCCCCGTTTCCCTAAAAATAGACGGTCAGTTTCGGCCTGGGTCCTTACGACCCCTCTAGATTCGCCAGAGACGGTATCGGATCGCCGTTATTGCACCCGTCTTAGTTGTCTTTAATACATGACAGCTTCGACCACGGACGTCGGATCCACGAATGTATCCGATCGTTCCACGAATGTACGCACCATCCAGGCCTAGGATGCATCGAGGTTTAAAAGAATGCAGTCTGTAGATCCATCAACAAAACAATGGTGGTATGCAAAAATATCTCCCCGGCTCCCGCAACGTTCCAACGCCCCTCCGTTATGCATTCAAGGTGTGTCCGCCGAGCCGGCTTGCCTCCAATGACGTCATCGGCCGGCCGGCGGCGTTCAAGGTCAAACGGCTGGTGTCCTTACCTGGAGTTCTATAGCCTTGAATAGTCCCTTTAAATTCAGACCGGTTTCGAATCACAAGATTCATCTTCAGTGACAAAACTCTTTTCAAATTGATACAGGACACATATTCAAACACACCTTTGATCATAAAATATATCGCACACGCACATGCAATAGTTTGAGTTCAGCTTCGAATTAGAAAACTGCCTAATGCAATTAAAAGTACAATGACGTATACACAACGAAACAGCTACATAAAAGTACCCAGCTAAGCAGTGATATGTAGTGGATACGCCGAGGACATGTCGTTGATTTGCGGCCTCAGACGATGAATATACAACGATTCCAGAATTCTTAAATCAGGGTATGTACTGCTTCTACTCAAAATTTGAAAGTCGTCTATCCCTAGTGATGATTGACATGACAAGGCATGGTGTCTGATGGATGATGCTGAGGGAGATGACAGTAGTCGACCTGTACGATGTGACTTGCCTAAGTGCTGAGCTACTCTGGTGTACAGTGGATCTAGTAAGGATCTCCAGACGTTACTAGATGGCGTTGAGCCTCAGTCGAGTCCATGTCAAATTCAAGGGGAGGTCAGTACCGAGCTGGGCCCGATGGGGAGGTGGGCGGGGCAGGGGGGCGGTTGGCGAGGTCACGGTGCGGGTGACCTGTCAAACAGCCCCGGCGCGGTGGGGCACTGCCGCAGGCAAATGGCGCACTCCAGCGCTGTTCCATAGCGCGGTGGTGGGCCGGGCGGCCGGTTAGCTTGGCTGCTTGGAAGGAAAGGATAATAAATGAGGCATGGGTTTGCTCATTGCTGTGGCCGGACCGGTTCACCTGCTGTCAACTAGGATGCACCCAAAGTAATGCAAATGTGATATTGGTAATGCAGCTGGCAATGGAATGCCAGCGAATGATCCGAGCGCCCAGTAGCTAGGTATAAGGATTACCTATGATAATTTATGTCTCCTGAAATTTTCATTGAATATAATAAGCACTCGAAAGATCGTATCGTTCGCCAGTTTTTTGACCGGCTGGCGTTTTTTTGCTGGTAAGACTGGTCTTTTAGGTCGAATGAACTCGCTAACAGAAGATGAGGAAAAGTGGACGAATACCACCTTTTTGCGCATGAAGTCTCGAGTTTAAAAAAAACTTAGTTATTATGCGTGTAAGCTAAAAAACAATAAGATCACTTAATAAAAATATTTGACCCGAAATTAGCTTCTGTTTTGTCTGACCATGATTGCGTGTAAGATCCCGGTCTAACCTGGTTCAACCCGGCCCAACCTGGCTCGGCTCCCCTTTTTTAATATAAATTTGGCCTGAACCTTTTGAATGGATGGAATCACAAGGACAGAGTCCCCGCTATGCTGAGCTTGTTGCGTTGACCCTGCCATCTGCCCTCCGATTAAGCAATTCCTGGTCTATGACAGAAGTAAGAGTCCAAGTTTTAACATGCGCACATAGCCGCGCATGGCCGGTCCCCTCACTGACTTTGCCTGGCAGCGGCCTGCCGTCAGGAGGCTCAAAAACGTCAAGCGCTGGTCGCGTTTCGAACCCGGACTTTTGAAACCGGGACGTGCGCTCTCACCACACGGAGTCCAACGCTTCACCGACTGAGCTACCGGGACGGACGTTTACCTTGTTTAGCCTCGTGACATTGACAGACGTCAGACACTTTGGCCGAACTTTAGGCGAAACACTGAGCAAGCTGCGCAGGGCGGTGGGTGCTCGTAGCGTCGAGGTTGGGTAACCTGTGAGCTGAATGTGATGTGAGTTCGAGCCCCACTCCCTGGTCTAGTTTTATCTAGACACGAACTAGAAATTTCCTTCTACTGCAACACAGACAAGCACAATGACATTTTCCCCCAATATCCTCCCAATAAAGTCAAAATTGTCGCTTATAAATGTTTAGCAAGTTTCATTTTTAAGAAAATATTTTTTGGGAATTTTCTGGAGCCATTTCAACTCTTTGTTTTCTATTCTAATTCTCTTCGACCCGATAAAACCCACGAAAACTGAACGTGCCAAATGAAAAAATATCCAACTCAAATAACAGTTTAGAAAAGGGCCTAAGACATCATGCAACTATCGACTGAATAGTTGCATGCTATGAATACGTCCTTGATTTCAATTACCTATCATTGTTCAACATTTTGACTGGAACTGGCACTGCCTCTCGCTCAGTGGCGGATCCAGGGGGGGGGCTGCGGGGGCTGGCAGCCCCCACCCAAGGAAAACTGGCGCCACTGCGCCGAAGGCGCAGTGGCGCCAATTTTCAATTCGCAACTCATCGGAGTGCCGCATACTAGGACTAGGATGCAAAAATCAGTCGAATAACGTCGTTTCAGTACGCTCCGCACCGATATTTCCAATCGTGTGGTGTCACTGTACATACTGATCCTGGGCGCCTCTTGTCAGGGCCACTGGGCGCCAATATTTCAGCGCCAATACGATGCGACTATGGCGCCCATCCGGGGCGTGGCGCCCAATTATGACCTGCAGCCCCTCCCCAGTGAAAATCCTGGATCCGCCACTGCTCTCGCTTGCCCATTTGTTTGAGATAATGATTCTCTTCAGTCGCATTCTTCAGTCGCTGGTTCCACATCAACAGGATACCACCATACCGGAGTGAACGCACCTGCAACCATCATCCCCTCCCCTCAGCCTCGGCGCAGTGGCGGGCGGCCCTGGGCGGCCCACTCCCGGCGCTACGCACGCCCCATGCGCCGTGATACCGCGTCACTCCCCCTCCCTCCTTCCCCCACAATGACCGGTGACCTCACTTCCCTCGGGATTTGGACTCGCCCTACCCCGACCGTAGCGCCACGTGGTGGCTCTGGAGATCTTAAATAGACCCACTGTACAAGCGTTGGTAAGTGGAGCCAACGTATGACGCCTGGCATGAGGCGCAACTATATTTGTAAACCACACCAGAGATGCTCGACTTGGGCAGTCTATCCTTGTAGCGAAACATAGATCCTATGGTTAATCTGTTACGTAATACTATTTTTGGGTTCAAATATGGGTAAAACTTGCTGAGACCTTCTAGAACTTCTTTTTGCATTTTAATGGACTGTTCCCCAAAGTATGGGAGCACTAAGTATTTCTCGAGTTTGTTGACAGTGACAGAGCTTTTTATTTCCTCAAAGCTCTGTCACTGTCAACAAACTCGAGAAATACTTAGTGCTCCCATACTTGCATATTTACGTCTGGACAACGAGTTGCGGGGAAAAGTGCTGATTTTGTCGCAGTTTTAGGAGTCGGTGATAAGGCTGGATTTTTAGGTTACTTTTTCGTTCCGATTCCTGTATTTCATAGTGTTTAGCTTTTGAATATTTTAGTTCTCTCAGAAAAATATTACTTGCCTAATAGATTTGGTTAAATTGTTTCATTTTTAAAAGCCGACCGCAAGAGTCATAAATCAATACATCAGCACTACAATTATTGTAAGCAAACAAATGGAGCACCGCTTGCCTCTGTTCCAAGGCCTTTTTCAAGTTCATCTGGTGTTTTCGTACTCGTGTGTACGTCGTTTTGTTGGAAGTTTTGGATCCCTTGTGATTGAATTATATCATATTAAAGAAACATGTTGACTGAAAACAATTCCAAGTATCCAGGAGGCTAAGGCTCCAGAGGCCTGACTCCTGAGCCCTGAGCGATGTCAAGTTGAATTTAGGAAATGTTGATTGATGAAAACGCAAGTTGGTCTGGCTCACTTATCACTTATCAGCAAGAAAAAGTAAAATTAAAAGAGCTTATTGGCCAAATACAAGCTATACTATTGCAGGAGATCAATACTGAAGAGCACGCTGAGCAATATCAAGCCAGAAAATGCTGGCTGACGAACGCGTATTGATGGATTGGTGTGAATATTGAATTATAACTTACAACAGCAAGATTAATTTGTGCTAACTATCAAGTGAAAAATCTAGAATGAATGAACTCGGGAAGCTTTGCTTTGCAGAATGGTAATGTCGTAACGTGCATTACTCAGTGCCTGGCAAATGAAACACAATCATTCCAGTGCTTGTTACTGGAGGAGACAGCTTGCCGCTTGGATCACTAACTTAGCTTAATGTTTAATTTGATGTTCATCATTACTTTGCATTTCTTGAAAAAAGGATTTAAGAAGAATTGTCAATGTGACAAATAGGCAATCCAAATCCATGCAACGATGTGATCGTATGATGTGTTCATAGTCATTAGTGATTACTGGTTCAATATACAATAGCAAAGCTGTCAGGCGTCAGCATTTCTTTCTGTGGATGGCCAGAAATGACTCAGAACTTAGAAGTATTATTAGTTTTCTTCACAGGGCTGGGATAAAAAGTACTGAGGGTAATCTTCCAGCAAGGAACTTTATAGTTTATTTTGATTTGGTATGAGATGTAGGCAAAAGTAGGTAGGTACTTAGTCATATAGCTAGTAGTTGTGAAGGTTAGTTGGGTGCTCTTAGATTAGGCTGTTAGTTTTTAAATTGCCTAGTGTCCATAAAAATGTGACCTGAGGGCTGAGCATACCTGACTAACCTGACCTAACCTCAATCATCACACATATTTGCAACCTACCCAAGACCTGCATAGCAGTAGCACTCAGTTATAGGTAGGTACTTACTCACCCTAGCTCCATCTCACCTGCTAACCTTCAACTTGCCAACAGTAAGCTCACCTTGCCAAGCCGTATCCAACTATCCAGGGAAACAGTCAACTGAGGAACTGGCTCATTGGGTGGCTGGTGAGAGTCTGTGCAAAGTGTCTCTTCTCTGAAGCTGCTCAGCACTACTGTATGTCATGTTAGATGCTCAGAAAAATGTGGGAAATGATAACTAGGCTACTTTAGTGTTTTGTTCATGCTCAAGACATCAACAAGTACAAATCCTGTGGGGTAAAGCTATGAGCTGGGTGAGTAATGAGTATGTTAGGTGAGTGTGCTATTGGACTGTAGTAAATATACAAACAAACACAAGGTCACAGTTATATTCAATCTCCACATAAACATACAACAAAAATGCCCATAGCCTCACTCGCCACACAACAAATAGCTAAGCCTTGCAGTCACAAAAAAATGCTTTGATTTACAGGATAGGTATACAATATATCCTCTGTCCTTGGGGATCTTCCTGCCAAGTTGAAGTAAGATAGATGACTGAGCTTA